TTCATTTTACAGATGAGGTAAGTAGGGCTCAGAGTGGTTAAATAAATGACTTGCCCAAGGACACACAGCTAACAAATCAGTTGGACTGGAACATAAATTCAGGTCTGTTGGATGCCAGAGTTCAGGCTCTTAATCACTTAACTCTCCTGCCCAAGGTCACATTAGTAGCTATTAAATGAGGGAAGCGGGATTAGACTCCAAGTTGGCGCTCAGATTCTCGGCAGACCGGGTGCTGGCCAAGGGAGCCTGACCTGAGGAGCTCCTCTGCGGGACCTTCTCGCCTGGCCAGCTCCGCCTTGCCGTCCCCTCGCTGACCTCTGCCTCACTCGGGAACCTGATCACATTCTGTCTTCTGCTGTAATTTCCTCCAAGGCGAACACCGAACCTTCTGCTGCCTTTTTTTTTTTAATCTCAGTCTGGTGCAGAGAGAAAGACGCAAGCTCTGGAGCCAGACAACAATGCTCTGAATACCAATGCTGCTCACTCACTGAGTAGTATCGGCCATGTCACAGAACCTCTCCGAGCCTCAGTTTCCTCGTTGGCAGAGTGGGGATAATTCCTACCTTGCATTGTTGTGAAGCTTTGCATAAATGCACACGGAGCACCTAACTCAGTGCCTGACACATAGTAGGTGCTCTCTGAAGAGTGTGCTACCATCCTATTCATTGCCATGGCACCTAGATCAGTGCTAGGTTGTTTGCTTGATTTAATTCATCTTTGATTCGCCCACAGCACCTAGCATGGTGCCTTACGCAGAGTGGATGCTCCTGTATATGGCTGCTTGAATGCAAAACTGGAGAGAGCTGGAGAGGGAGGACCATGCAAAACTGCATGATCACATGTAAGAGTTTTCCTCCCATAGATCCTCTAAGCAAATCTGTGAATCTTCCATTGCCTTGGTTTCCCCGGAGGTCAAACTCAGTGGCAGCTTCTCCTAGAGGGCTCACAGAAATGGGAGTTTGCAACATCAGAGGTTTCTAATGTAATCACGGATAATGAAAAGGTTCTTCTTCCCCAAGCCTTGAGTGAGTCAGAGCTCTGTGCTTGGCTTTGCCCCAGGGAGTACCGAGAAAATAAAATATTGTCTGTATCCTCATGGCACCTAAACTAATGGTCAATTCCATGGGTCAAATATCAGCCAGGGGGTTAAGAGGCATCGCCAGTGAAGGGAGGGGAGGAACAGCAAGAGACGGACCATTAGCAAAGGTTGCTTTAGTGGGGTCCTGGTACATGCTGCTATTAAGGCTAATACCTATTTGCCTTATAGTGGGATGTTTGTTTTGTCTTTGTGAAAGACACAGGTAAATGACAACCTGTCTGAAATCTACAAGGATTTTGAACCTCTGGATGTGGTCAATAATCTCTCCCACATCCTGATACTTGAATCAAGACGTAAGTTCTCTCTAAGTAACAGACTCTTCTCTTTCAAAACAAGTATAAACCAACTCTGAATCTCAGATTTGCTCTTTCTTTTTCTGGCCTTTTGCCACCACAAAGAAATGTTTGATAGGCTGAGTTTTCACACTGCAGCTGGTTACCGTGATTATGTAGACACAGCCTCCGTAAATTCAATGGTGTGTTGCTAGCTGTTCAATAGCTGGTGAGATTAGTGCCCAGGGAGGTGGGAAATGGGCCACCACCATCAAATGTGGGCTCAGCGCTTGCTCTCCGCTCTGTCCCACATCCGCCTTTGTGTTCATCACCAGCTTCTGCCAACTTTCTTTCCCTTCCTCCTCCCACTCCCCCTTGGGAATAAACCAGTTCAAGAGAAGCACCATCATCCTAGACTTGAAGAGACACGGGAATGGTGGGAACTGAGTGTGTGACACTCTGCTCCTACCATCATTGTGGATGAAGAGGAGAAGGGACAGCAAGGTTGCCTTCCGGGGCCACTTCACCCAGCAAAGAAAGCTGATTATCTGGATCTAGAAGACCTCAGGGGACCATCTGGCCCCACCCCTATCTCCAGACACATTAGTACACGAGCCATATGGGACCAAGGATAATCTGCCCTCTTCATAGAGACCATTGGCCGAGGGCTACCCAAGTGGTCCCAGTCTCACACGCCACTGTGCAAGTCACAAGTAGCTGTCGTATGTGGCTTCCCTCTGGGACACAGGAAGGAGCACAGCTCTGTGATCCAGGGAAACCTGTTTGATAACCAGCTCTGCACCTGACTAGCTGAGGGAGCGGGCCGATTCCCACTACCTCCTGGACCACCTCCCAAATGGAAAATGGCCGAACCAGGGTTCTCATAGCGCTTGAAGAGTGAAGCCTCTGTAAATCTGTGAATCTTTTATTTTCAAATATTCAAAAACAACTTATGCCAGTTTAATTAAAATAAAATAAAAATCTGTTTTCAGGGCTGTCTCTACCACAGGGAGCTTAATCTCAGAGAATCCCTTGAAATTGTGTGTTTTGTGCATTTGGGAGTCTGTGCATTTTGGTGGGAAACGATTAAAACCTTGGGTGTGTAATAACCACCTACCCCCAAATATAGATAAAATAAAAAGAAATTCAGAACCTTCCTCTAGGTAAAGGAGCTTAAACGTAAATCACTCTGAGTGACTTCCTGGTGCCCTCGCCCTGAATATCAGGTTATAGTGATTACCAAAGGAAGAGGTCAGAAGCCCCACATGTAGGCTTGCGGACAGGAGTAAAAGAAGGCATCAGGCTTTGCTTTTCAATCTCCAGCTGTCACTGACCACTGCTCTACCCCATGCCTACAGGTCATAGGACCTCAAGAATATACAAACTCTCTCTGAACCATGGTTTTCTCATCTGTCAGTGGAGAATGGTTATACTTCTCAGAGGGTTGTTGTGAAGCATAAAGGAAAATGAGTAAATGCTTGGCTATCAGTAGGAGCTCGATAAATGTGGGTTCCCTCCCAGCACTAGTAACTCAGGGTTCTAAAATTTACCACTTGGAAGACTGCTCCTTCCATAACAATCAATCCATCCCCTGTCTCAAATTTAAATTGGTACAGTCTCTGTGGAAAACAGTATGGAAGTCCCTTTTAAAAACAGAATTACCGTATGATCCAGCAATCCCATTTCTGGGTATATATCAAAAACGAATGAAAATAGGAACTCAAAGAGATAGCTGTGCTCCATGTTCACTGCATCATTATTCACAATAGCCAAGATGTGGAAACCACCTAAGTGCTCATCAGCTGATGGATGGATAAAGAAGACATGGTGTTGTATATATACAAGGAAATATCGTTCAGCCATGAGAAAGAAGGAAATCCTGCTATTTGCATCAACATGGATGAAACTTGAGGGCATTATGCTAAGCAACTTAAATTAGACCAAAAAAAAAAAAAAAGTCAAATGCTGTATGATAATCACCTATATTTGGAATCCAAAAAAGCTGAACTCACAGAAACAGAGAGTTGAGTGGTGGTCAGCAGGGTGTAGGACAGTGAAATGGGAAGATGTTGGTCAAAGGGTACAAACTTCCAGTTATTCGATGAATAAGATCTAGGGATCTAATGTACAGCATGGTGATTATAGTTAATAATACTGTACTATAAATTTGAAAGTTGCTAAGAGAGTAGACCTTAAGAGTGCTCACGACAAGAAAAGAAATAGTAATTATGGGATGGAGTTGTTAGCTAACACTATGATGGCAGTCATGTTGCAGTGTATAAATATATCAAATCAACATGTTATATACCTTAAATTTAACAGTGTTATGTGTCGATTATACCTCAATAAAATTGGAGGGGAAAAGCCACCCCCACCTTGCTTCTGGGACAAAGTGTGACACAGCAGCTAAGTGTTCAACTTGGCATAGACCCACGGTTGGGTTCCATCCCCAGCGTCTCTCCTTGATGGCTCTGTGGACTTGGGCGAGAGTTAAACTTTGCTGTATCTTGGTGTCCCATCCACAGCATGAACAGGATAATGAGGATAATCCTTCTTCCATCGCAAAGAGTACTTAACACACAGTTTGGGACATACCAGGTACTGGATAATTGTTAACTAACGTAAGGCTCTCCCTTGGCATCTTTGGGCCCATACCTTCTCTTCTAAATACCATTCGCCCACCTTTGGGAGTGTGAAGGGGAGGAAATCAACAAATATCCCAAATTCCCCAGTTCCCTTCCCCCGATGCCTCTAGGTCTCTTACCCCACCCCCACCATCCTCACCCCCCCGTTAGCCCACTACCTTGTTCTTCCTCTCTTTCAGGTCTTGACTCAGATACCATTCCAGTGACATCCTGAGCACCCACCCAAAATTTCAAATGCCACCCCACACACCATTCCATTCCCCCCTCCTTACTTTATTTTCTCTGTTATATCTGTCAGCAAAGGACACACCTACAATTTGCTTACTTTTTTAACGACTGTCTCTCCCACTAGAATGTAAGCGCCTGGCGGGCAGGATCGTTGTCTACTTGGTTCCACTGCTGTGCCCACAGAGCCTAGAACAGAACCCAGAGTCAGCCTGGGTACTTAGTTAACAATCTGTTGAATGAATGAGTGTCTAAGTGAATAAGGAATGAATGAATGAATGGATGAATGAATGAATGAATGCTGTATTTTTATTTTTATGGGGAGGTAAAGGAGGAGAGTCGGTCTCAGATCTGAGTCAAGTCCCTCCCACCTGCCTAACCTGAGAATTCCTTCTCTTTTAGGTGTGCACAAGTTGCATATCCCCCTAAATCTGGGGGTTGACTCCAGACGTCCCTCTATTACAGGTAAGCACCCCCACCTCACTTTTTAAAACGAAGAGCGAATAGGAGGGAAAGAAGTCCCAGCGGGCCACCTCGGGGTGGGGGGTTAGGGGAATCCCCACGCTCTTCCTGCCCCCCCCCCCCACACACACACACACACAGACGCGCGCGCGCGGCCTGCCCTGGGGGGCGGGGACGGGGCTGGCTGACCGGGGTGGCGGCGTCGGGGCTGCGGGCGCCTTCGCTGGACCCGCATTGCCCCCTAGTGCCGCGCGGAGTCAGGGCGCCGGGCTCCCCAGCCTGATGTCACCGGCGTGCAGTCAGCCCAGAGGCGGCTCATTGAAAGCAGACCCTCCTCGGCGCTGGCTGGGCGGAGGCGCCGCTGTCCGCAGACCCGCCGCGGGCCGGCCCGGAGCCCGCGCCCCGCGCCCGCGCCCCTCCTCCCGCGGCTCCCTCGCGAGCCCGGCCGGCGCGCCTGACGTGGACCATTAACTCGGAGCTGCCGCCTGTCCCCTCTCTCCTCCTCCCTGTGACAGGCGACGAGCCGTGCGGTGCGGGAGGAGACGCGCTGCCGGCCGGGCTGCCGGGGGACATGACTCCTCGCCAGGAGGGCGCCTCCGGGAAGACGACCACCACGGGGGAGGCAAAGTTTCAGGGCAGCTGAGGAGCCTTCGCCGCAGCCCTTCCAGCCCTGCCAATCCCCTGGCTATGGAGGGCAGACTCTAAAATGAATCCCGATCTGGACACCGGCCACAACACATCAGCACCTGCCCACTGGGGAGAGTTGAAAAATGCCAACTTCACTGGCCCCAACCAGACCTCGAGCAACTCTAGGCTGCCCCAGCTGGACATCACCAGGGCCATCTCCGTGGGCATGGTGCTGGGCGCCTTCATCATCTTTGCCATCGTGGGCAACATCTTAGTCATCTTGTCTGTGGCCTGCAACCGTCACCTGCGGACACCCACCAACTACTTCATTGTCAACCTGGCCATCGCTGACCTGCTGCTAAGCTTCACCGTGCTGCCCTTCTCGGCTGCCCTGGAGGTGCTGGGCTACTGGGTGCTGGGCCGGATCTTCTGTGACATCTGGGCCGCCGTGGACGTCCTGTGCTGCACCGCCTCCATCCTGAGTCTCTGCGCCATCTCCATCGATCGCTACATTGGGGTGCGCCACTCTCTGCAGTACCCCACGATAGTCACCCGGAGGAAGGCCATCTTGGCGCTCCTTAGTGTCTGGGTCTTGTCCACAGTCATCTCCATCGGGCCTCTCCTTGGGTGGAAGGAACCAGCACCCAACGATGACAAGGAGTGCGGGGTCACTGAAGAACCCTTCTATGCCCTCTTCTCCTCGCTGGGCTCCTTCTACATCCCTTTGGCGGTCATTCTGGTCATGTACTGCCGTGTCTACATCGTTGCCAAGAGGACCACCAAGAACCTGGAGGCCGGAGTCATGAAGGAGATGTCCAACTCCAAGGAGCTGACCCTGAGGATCCATTCCAAGAACTTTCATGAGGACACCCTCAGCAGTACCAAGGCCAAGGGTCACAACCCCAGGAGCTCTATAGCTGTCAAACTTTTTAAGTTCTCCAGGGAAAAGAAAGCAGCCAAGACCTTGGGCATAGTGGTCGGGATGTTCATCTTGTGTTGGCTACCCTTCTTCATCGCTCTACCACTTGGTAAGTTGGGGACTGGTGGAGGGGCCCTGGGCATTTTTTCGATCTTGGCTTAACAGATGAGCTTCCGTAAAGTTTTGTTGTGGATTTTAGTTTTTTTAATGCAGTCTCTGTGTGTTTGGAGATTGGAGAACACTGTTTGTTCTGCAAAGGCTTTGCAGATGGGATAGCTGGCTAGGAACCAACTCAGGTGTTAGTGGAACACGCTAAGGTCCTAGCCACTTGAAATAGAACCACGGTTGGAAAATCTGATATGCAGAATAACTCATTCAGCAGCTTCAGTTTAATAATTAAAAAGGCCACTGGACTTGAACATCACACCAGCGTTATTTCAGTAGTAATCACGTGTCGGCTAAGGCAGCGTCACGAATGCAGCATACAAAGTAGTTTGTAGTTACCGCAGACACGGCATTTGGAAGGCAGGGAGGCAGCTCGTACACAGAAAGGCAGTTTTCATTCAGCATTTCCAGGGCTCTGTACAGAGAGCCCACACTGCTCAGGAGCTTTGCAGAGGCTGCGTTCTTCCCCCCTCCCTTCTCGCTGGCTGTCACCTCGGTGCACTCCCTTCCTGACGAGGTACTCAGAGCATTTACAGCCACACAGCCCCCAACTCGCCTTGAAGTGATCTAAAGCCTGAGATTTGAAAGAGAAGAAAGATGACCTGAGGGTCACATATTCTCGGTTTTCACCCCAAAATGTTCCTAACTCTGGTGATTTACGAAATGACTGGAATTAAATTATAGTTGTCCCTTACCTTTAATTACCAGACACCAAATCCTGCCCCTCCTATAATAACATGTCCATTTTTTTGTTGTTGTTTGATGGTCCTGAGTTGTTCAAAAGGCTACCTGATCAATTTCTTCTAAGGAAGAGGATGTCTGCTTAAGAGACAAACCTAGAGGACAGTGTGACATACTATCCACATGGCCTGGGAAACACTTGTCCCTCCTCTGAGGCACTGATCTGCTTTGATATCATCTCCTATCTCTGGGGGACACTCCAGAAAAAATGAATGGAGGGAGGTGATCACGGCCAAGTCATTGCCGTGTATCAGAAGAGGTAACAGCTGCTAAATGACATGGACCACACGTGCCTGTAATCACACCAGGGGCTCAGAGCCCTACACAACCAAATTCCTCAAGTAACTAAAATTCAGAAAACACACTGCTTTCAAGAGAAAGTGGCAAATGGAAAGAAAGGAAACTGATATCAGGAGTTTCCCTTTTAAAAAGATAAAGGAAAAAGCTGTTTAACTTACTCTCCACATTATCATTTCCAAGACCGGCTAACGCCCATGAGAAATGTTTTCAGTGTGTTAAGTGGAAAGAGTTCGCCCTCCCCCCTCCCTCCTCCCTGCCAAGGAGTGATCACATCCCACTGCAGAGAATCCTTTTCTTTCCCAAGGTCTCAGGGTCCTTTTGCAGGTTTGTTGAATCAAAGTGGATGACAGTTCACGCTGCATTGGGCCATACAAAGATCATGGATGTATGTGGAAGTGATTTGGTCACTTGGCATTAGCTAAGCGACCTTGGGCAAATGTCTGCTCTTCTGTGAGCCTCAGCTTCTTCATCTGAAAAATAGGCCTAATTATGATTTGCTTCATGGGGTTTGCACGAATGCATGGAAAGAACTTAATATAACGTCTAATGCACAGCAAATGCCCAAGGAAAGTTAGCTCTTAGTACTACAAACCCAACCCCAGTCACTCCTCAGCTGTAACTGCGTGTTTTCTCCTTCTCTACTCATTTGCCACCCCCACACCTGTTACTAAAGGCTCAGAAGAGAACTGGGCCTTTCTTCCCTCTGCTCCTGCCCACTGGCCTGCAGAGGCTATGACCAGAGTATCCTCAGGAAGGAGCAGGCCTCAGCTGGATGCAGGGGTGGATCAAAGGTGCAGGCACTCACTTTCCAGGGCAAGAGAAATAGCTCCAGATAGATGAAGAGGTACCAGCATGTTGAAATGGACAGAACACTGCTCTGGGGGTCAGCAGCAATCTAGTTTTCATGTGAGCTGTGCCATCGACTAGATCTATGACCGTAGGCTTGTTGCTTTACCTCTGTGGGCTTCAGCGCTCACTGCCAGAGAACCACAGGGTTGGACTAGGTCAAGAGCTCTCAAACTTTAATAAGGATCAGAGTCATCGTGGAACCTGATAAACATTCCATTTCTTAGGCCTAACTCACAGAGAATCTGACTCAGTAGATCAGATGGATCTCAGGAGTCCACATGTTGAACCAGCCCACCAGGTGATTCTGAAGAGGCGACCCCCCAACCAGGCTTTGAGAGCCCCTGGTGGGATGACCACCTCAGCTCCCTCCAGGCTCCAGCCTCCTGGAGACCACGGTTGTAAATGGTGCAAAGCTGAGCCTTCCCCAGCCACGCAGTGGTGCAGGGTGCTATGGCTTCTCTCTGGGCCCCCCTCTTTAGGACCACCCTCAGTTTCTTCTCACTCACACTCTCTCCACTTTCCCCCTTTTGGTTGATGCCTTCCTGAGACCTTATCCCCCTAACACCTCAGGTCTGTGGCTTCTACACCGTAGAAAGCGAGACTTTCTTGGCACCGGGATGCTCTCAGAGCTTGTCTCTCCTCTCCTTGCCATGACCACTTTCTGGCCATCCAGGCCATTATCTCCCAGAGACGTCCCAGGGAGCTGTCCCTGAACCAACCCACCCACATCCTTCTCCCCTGGAAACACGAGCCCTGGCAGATGAGGAATATGGACTCCAGGGACTGGGTCTGGGATGGACTCCGAAAGGTTCACAAGAGCTTCAAACAGAGAAAGTGCTCAATTAACTGCGTTCTTAATAACTCAGCAGGAGCATCCAAGCTAAACCGAGATGTGGGTTTCTGCTTCCTAGGAGTTCAAACAACACCCAAATGAAAGTAGCGTGATGTAGAACAATAACTCCTTTGGAATCTGAAGAAGGTTCCAAATTCTAAATTTTCCATGAAAGGCTTTCCACTCACAAGGAGAGAAAGCAGATCTGGGGGGACAGTGGTTGGCAAGCAGGAGCGCAGGAAGGAGTAACTTCCAGTTGGCTGTAGGCGTGCAGGGGCCTGGATGGCGGGAGATTTCCATAGCTGTGTTTGTCTTCTCCGTGGGAGAGGAGGGTTGGATTCCTCTCGGGAAGGAGGGAAAATAGCCATGCCCCCCGCAGGGTCCTGGTTAGGGGCCCCATTTGTTTACCTTCCTCCCTTATTTTTATTTTGGGGAGCAGGGTAGGGCTGCCTGCAGAGCCCTCCCCACCTGTAACACCCTCCCTACCTCCTTTCCACCCTTTCCCTGTGGCCTCGGACCAAGTTGGGCCAGGGACGAGCTCTCAGTTACTCGGGAGCAGGGATGGGCTCCACCAAACAAGGATCTCTTTATTCGGCCCCTGGAATCCGGCCACCGAGGGCCAAGAAATAATTGGAATATAATATAGCATCGGGTCATGCGCAGGATGTCCAAGGACTCTTCAGCTGCCCGGCATTACAATGAAGGCCGGCTCCCACCCGCCTGGGGAAGGCCCGTCAGGGTCTCGAGAAGTGGCTAGGCTGTTTAGCGAGGTGCATGGCACTGGGGAGAAAGAAGGAGATGGGGGATCGCAGGAAGTGCAGGGCAGCCAGCTGGTAGCTGGGCTTAGTGTGTTATTTAGAAAACACTGGAACCTTGCCTTGCTCCAAATCCTTCTTCCATCTTTTAGAATGCTGAAAGGCCCCAGGAAGCCATTATTGAACTAACTGCTTTCCCCTCCAAATAAATGAAGGTCCATTTCAAAGAAACAGTTGTGCTCTCTGTAGTACTGGAACCAAACAGGAATTCCTCTCGCCATTGATCTGTTTCTCCAGTCCTCTCATTCAGCGTGGGGCTGACGACTCCCCACCTCCCACAAGAGCACAAGGGAGGGTGAGGGTCTCAGAGGTGACCCAGGACAGAGCCACCCCCACAAACACACACTAATCCTCTAGCTCAGAGGTTTCAAAACATGGGGATTTAATTTGCTCACAAGAAAAGCAGTTGGTTTGAGTGAAGAGAAATTTTTACTCACAGGGAATCTTTCCTGGAAGAGGGAAATCCTACCAAAGAAAAATACAACCATTAATGAAATCGTTAATAAAGACTGTCTACAAAGCCTGCTATATGCTGGGCACTGTATTGATTACCGGGTTGTTGGGCCAAAAACAAACGTGACTCCTTCTTGCAGGAGGCTCACAGCCTAGTGAAATCACACTATCAGCCAGCACATCCCACAAGACATTCTGCTAGGCCCTCCGCAGACATTATCTCATTGATACTCACAGCTACCCTAACAGGGGAGTGTAATCGCTCCCTCTCTACAGATAAATATACTATAGTTCAGAAAGGTTAGTCTTCTTGCTCAAGGTCACACAGCAAGTAACTGATGGCGCCAAGAGTTGAATCCAGGTCTGTCAGAACAGGCACATACCTGTTCCACTGCACCCAGGAGATGCCTGGCCTTTTTGCTGTCTGGTCCCAACCTATTCTCATAGCAAATGTTCTCCAGGAACCTCAGAGCCACCTGTCAATAGCTGGTCATTGTTCTTCTGTAACAAAGCCTGCCATTTCTCCCACTCCCCATTCACTCCTGAAAATGATGCACCCATAAAACGTCAGGGAAGTTCATCCAACATTCTTGCCCAGGGCTGGATTTTCTCCATACCTCCTGCATTATGTAGAATTTGGGTCTCTCAAGGTTAGGCTTTTCATCACCCAGCCAGAAGGGAAAAGTGGGGCCTTCCTCTAGGGTTCTAGCTCCACATCTTTAATCATTCATTCATTTGTTCATCCATTCATTTTATTGAATAAGTATGTATTTATTGTGTGCCTACTATGTCCAGGCATTGTGCTAGAGCTATACTGATGAGCAAAACAGTTATGTTCTATGTTCTCGTAGGACTTAGTTCTAGTAGGAAACACAGATAATTTGAAAAACACATGCACACAAATAAATATGAATGCAAATTGTGATAAGTGACTTGCAGAGAAGGGGCAAGGTG